TTGTCCATCCATAACTTGAATTAGAGGAATTACAGGATATATCTCACTGGAGACCAAAGACTACATTTAACTACACGTGAGACGCACAAGGGGATATCCTACAAGCTAACAGAAGACGGTGCAGTCCGCAGGCTGTTTCAAAGGGGCTGCTTTTCTTAGCCGTTTATACTTGTGTCATAAAGACAAAAAAAAATACAATGCACATTAGTATGCGGAAATAGCACTTAGAAGGAAAGGGGGTTTTAATAAAATGTCGTAAGCTTTCACGTTGGAATATACGATGACAGTGCTTTGCAAATCTTAGCTGCCCCGTAGTATAGCTATTTGGACCACAGCAGAAGACATGGGGCTGTTGAAAAAGGGGTGGGGCAGTACAAACGTGGTTTTCGGTCTCTTAGCTATGGAAGTGTGCTAAAAATGCGCAAATATTAACATCAGGGATCGGCCTGCATATGCGGGACGCAGGCGTGTTCGCTCCTTGCAGTTCTAGGTATTTAGCTATATATTTAATGTGCCTCCGTTTAAGCCATATAAGCCGTGTTGTTGTTGTTATTATTACTATTATTATTGATGTATTGCTTTTTGTCGTAGGCCTAATAAATGTAAAATACTCTTCTGCTTAAGATGTTCTCGTTGTTCTATCATTTAATATGCAATAATATTTTTACTACTTTCATAATAAGACATAAATTATACAAGCAATATTACTTGTCACCTAGACAGGCGCAAAAAAACACTATTCCAACTACATAAATATATTCTTAGATATATTTTTCTTAAAAACGTCTATAACGTTTTCAGATAGTCATAACGTCTTATCTGCTATGTGGGGGTACAGAAATACAATAATACCAAATTTATCTTAAGCTTATACCTCACCGAGAAAGTGGCTTGTCCTACTTAAGAATGTTCTTGTAAAAGTTTGACGCATTCAGGCTCCTCTTCTCTACTAACGAAGCTACGAAGGTGAGGTGGCTGGTCGTTTTAGACCCGGTTACTTCAGTCGGTAGCGTGAAAATGATCCCTTTTTATCATCGCGATGCGAGACTGAAACGATCAATATCCATGCTGGGAGGCGATCAACTAAGGTTTAGTATTGGCAGCGTGCTATAATATGTTGTGTTCCCTTATGCTATAATTAATATCTGTGTTAATTGCGTTATTTACATAATTGCGCCATTCAGTACAAATTCATACCAAATTCGTATGTTAGGCTTAACTTTGGATATCAAAGACACACCCATTTGAATAAATCAGCTAAGTTGAATACACTACCACAGTAGACTAAAATATATAAAGCAAGAATTAATTTATTTGCTGGTACTAACTGGGGTAACAGTCTTATAAAAAATAGTTATTACCGTAATGTATATGTTATTTTACCTCCTGTGATAAACGGGGTTACCCCCTTTACTGCACCGTATCAGAACCCCGTGTAAACTTAGCGGTCTGCAGTAGCGCTTACAGCGTTTCTCACTTAAAAAGTTACACAGTGCACATTCAAAAATAGAGAGAAAATCTACTTGCATCAAAGTATTTCTCAAGACACTGCGCTATCACTGATATACATACGATGTAAACGTATGAACTGAATTAAGTTGAAATTCAGGGCCAAGAGCTGTAATTGAATTTGGAGGTAAGCTAACTACCGCAGAGGTCATCCTAGCGGTCCAACAGGCCGCAGTGGAGATATTAAGTTTTCGAAAACTAAGCGTTTATTACTCTAATGCTTTACCACAGTCTACATATCTTCCTCTGTTTGCTCAGTCTCCCATTAACGAATAAAAAAGAAAAAAAAGTCTGTCTAAAAGGATGTGCCGTCCTGAAAAGAAGAAAAAACAATGACCTGGAGAAAACTGTACTATATTTTCCTGGTATAAAAAAGAATAGGAGTAGCATTTTGCACAGTTCCTACAAACCAGATTTGTGTTTTAAAAAGGAAATATAATATCAACGCTCTGGCTTGGATTGGGCCTGTGTTGCATTTAATTTTATAAATAAACCACCAGCTGTCATTCTTCCAACTTCGTTTTAAATCTGCGGGTAGAGAACCGTCATTTAACGCAGCAATCAGACAAGGACAGGATTAGGTTACGTTATCAAGGTAACTGAGTGGGTCTAGGGCTTAAACTTTTGTAGACGGTTCCTGAATTTTAATAACAAAATGCGTTGTATTTTCCTTGTGGAATTCCTATGATTGGAATAATCCAAAATCAGTGTGCGAGTCTGAGTGGCATTTTTATTAATGGGATGAGAGGAAAGGGATACATTTTCTTATAGCGCCAGTTGAATTCAGTTGCTAGGCAACCGGTGTACGGCAACTCATCCGCGAAATTTAAATCTTTGAGAATGGAACTATGCGTTTTGCTGAATAGTCACTGCAGGAGAAAGTTGTAGCATAAGCAAATGCTCGCTCATATCTCACGGCCGAATATATTAAACTACGAAAAAACAAAGAAGAAGCAATATTTAAAAAAATATGGCAAAATTTAGCTAATGGTCATACAATCGGACAAATGGTTGACGAACACCGTGTGCGCGAAGAAAGAATGTTGGGGAAAAGGGCTTAGGACTCAGTTCTTAGACTCCTACCACATTCTGAATACTCCTTCACAACACCATCTATAAGTTATTCTGCTCGCCTGCACAAGAGCACAGAGAAGTTATTGGATTACGTTATCATTGAATTAACCATATTATTTATAAACCAGAAATGTAATTATCCAGCACGTGACCCTTCCATAATATTAAAAAATTAAATCCATTCCTTTTAATGCCCAAGTCAAGAAAACACTGGCAATGCAAGCCTTTTATCGTCAGAAATCTGACTGTTTCATCTTGTTTTTGCGATGTTTGGCACAGTCTGATTCAATATCTTACATTGCTGTTGTTACAGTTTAAGTCATTACCAAGTTGTGGACCAAAAGCATTAACCAGTCTGTCTCTGACGTCACACAGTCTCCACTTTCTCCCTTCAATACAAAAATATAAATATCCACAGCCGTGTCCATCAAGAGCACTTGCTCCTAAATCTGCTGTCACCGCTGCAAATGGTCATTATAGCCTAAAAATCTAAATAAATAAGAAAGAATTGATTAACGTCAATACTACTACTACTAATAATAATAATAATAATAATAATAATAATATCTAAAGAAAACAACAATAATTGGGTGAACGACATAAAATGTATATTTGATAAACTTTCATAATCTGAGTAAACCGGTCACTTTCCCCACCACTCTCCATCAGAGGTCAGGTGCGATGTCCAACAACGCGCCAAACCATCGCAGTAACAATAGCAAACGTTCAGCACGAAGGTAACCGCACGTAGCACCGTTTGTGAGCCAAAACATGAGCCCTGCTAACCGTTCGTTTAATTTAAGGAAATGTAACAATAATGATCTCAACCAGACGGTGAATACATGTAAAACACCATTACACGGAAAGGCCCGCAATTTTATAAATCAAAATATTAACGGGATGAAAGAGGGGGCACGTTTTAGCCTTCAAAGTTATTTTATCCCGATTGCACGAGATGGACGGCGTATGCATGTTTTATAAAAGCTATCATACCTAGAAGAACCTGCGAGCTTTTTTTACTCGCAAGGCCTGTGTAGTACACATGATAATTGCATGGTACACAATCTGACAGTCAATCCATTTATATAAAGGCTTCAGAAATATTTGCAATGGTGTACGAAGGAGCTACCCACGACAGGAACGACAAATTGAATATTTTAATCTAGGGGGTGTAATACAATTTTGTCGTGAAACCGTTACCTCTACCAACGGCACGACTTTTTTTTCTAAAAAAAAAAACAGTGGAATACAGTACAAAGTATTTCGAAAGATAAGGCACCATTAACAACAATTAGCAAAACGGCCTTTTCTAACAAAGGGTTTCAATTGGCATATTGGGAATGAATCATATTGTAGTCTTAATACACATTCACAGTGAACGCAAACAACAAAACGGTATTCATCTTATATGGAGATGCAGGAAATGTAAAATACAAAAAAAATTAAATAAATAAGCGTGCAGCTCCATTATGCTAAAACAAACGCACATGACACGGGAAAAAAACCGTTTACGGTGTTCAGAATTAATTTAACAGGTTAAAATTAACAGGTTAAATTTGAAAGAGCGCAAAATATAAATTTTAAATATTATCCTCTGACATTGTGCTGCTTTGGAAAAAATAGAGGAGACGAATCTAGTTGGTTTGTTTTGTATTATGTGCGTGTCGTTTTCAGGGAAAATAGTCACAAGGGAAGATAATCGAATTAAGGGCCATCACCTAAATCCCCAAAACACTTTTTAAAACAAAGCAAAAAAAAATCGACTGTTTTAACCTACTGTATATAAAACGGACAGCATCCTATTCGATCTACATTGGAAAACAATCGATACACACCTTTCATTACAACGAATTAAAATCAAATGTAGCAACATGTTTGCTCATGTAATTTTATGTTTTCAAAATATAAATCTGCTCTTACAACAGGCAACACACATAATCACGTTATTTGAGTTCTAACAAATTTATTGTTCTCAGTCATCTCTGACGGAATCACTACTGAAATTAAATTACAATCAAATCATCACATCAAAATATACCCTTATTACCTAACAACTGTCCATGTCAGTTTACGTTGATTTGTGCTCCTTTGTGAATAATCAAAGTACAAAATTAAGCAAAACAAATAAGAACAACAACGAAAAACTGGAAAGGAAAAAACATCTTACAGAAGTTGCGGGAGGAAAAAAATAAATTATCGTTTGCAACAGTCAATAGTTATTCCGAATAAAATATTAAAACAAGTCATTTTGGAGAAAAATATAAAGTAAATTCAGATCAGCATCTGATCTAGAGAATCTATTTTGCCGGAGTCTGTTTACTGTAACCTACCAAAGAACACGGCTAAGGGAAGGCGGCTTCTGCTCGGTTACATCCACGGCACCCAGTCCGTCACACTTGGCGGCGGCTTTTCGGAGAGGAAATTTTCAAATAAGTGCAGCTCAAGACAGTCGGTCTTTCAGTATTTCTTTTCCCATTTCGTTTTTTTTTTTTTTTTTTTTTTTTAAAAAAATCCATTTATGTGTCGGTCAACAAAATTAAAGATTTTTTTTTTTTTTCAAAAGATGCGATCTTTGAGATCAGAGAAAAGGGCAAAAACAACGTGGTTTGCCTTTTTGGGGAGGGGGCTAAGAACGACAATTCCTTTTTTTAAAAAATATTAAACCATGCAGTCTTCTTTGTAAGTTGTGTTCAAAGCGTCCTGCGTCCCAATCTTCTTTGTGTTGTATTTACTGATTTCTTTGCAAGGCGTGCCATAGTCTCTTATTGTTAAATGCGTAAACGCTCGCTTTTGGTGTCATACAAATTAAATGCAAGAGAAAAAGGAGAAAGATAAATATAGAAGTGTTGGGTTTTTTTTCTACAGTTGGTTTTTGTTTTCGTGGTGATGTTGTTAGTGCGCCAAAATTACCTGATGGTACGAACTTGTAGTTGTCACCCTCGGGTCGTTCGGTTCGCTCGGCCCAGATATACTGGCGTCTTTTAAGTAATCTACTAACAAATGTCCCTGAAAGAAAGAGCAGACAGAACCTTTTAGGTTAAGACAATTTAGGGCCTGGGTGAACGTTATCGTTGCGTTTTTTTGTCTTTTTTCTTTTATTTTCTGAAGACTGGTTGCGAATGCAGGGTCGATTTTTTTCTGTTAAAAAATATAAAACACATCTGCAGTCATATTCACTTTTCCCTCATAATCACAGTATCAAAAATTATTTTCACTATCTTGCGACAGTCTGTGTCCTATCAGATATATCATATACAAAACATTTAAAGTCTGTGTGCTGTTCTATGTCTCACTGAACATTCGTTTGCAGTCCATAGAAGGGGGCGGAGTGTCTGCACTCACATTGCCGACCTGAGAGTACACATCCTCCGGCGTCTGTGGCACTCCAGGCGGCGTCATCCTTTTCTCTTTCTGCCTCCGATTGCAAAACCAAACCCTGACCACTTCCTTTTCAAGCTGCAAGCTGTCCGCCAGGCTGGTGATTTCTTGGGCCGAAGGCTTGGGGCATTTAAGGAAGTGACTCTCCAACGCACCTTTTACACTCACTTCGATGGAAGTTCGCTTCTTTCGCTTCCTGCCCTGCGCGGCGATTTTATCGATGCTCGTGGGGCTCCCGGTGGATGAATCGGCCTCCTCCAGCCATTTGTTTAGCAGAGGTTTTAGCTTACACATGTTCTTGAAGCTGAGCTGCAGCGCCTCAAACCTGCAGATCGTGGTCTGGGAGAAGACGTTTCCATACAGAGTCCCTAAAGCCAAGCCGACGTCGGCTTGCGTGAAACCCAGCTTGATGCGGCGCTGTTTAAACTGCTTGGCAAATTGCTCCAGATCGTCCGAGGTCGGCGTGTCCTCGTCTGAGTGCGGGTCGTGGCTGTTTACTCCACCGTGGTGCTGCTGCTGCTGGTGGTGCTGATGCTGGTGGTGATGGTGGTGGTGGTGAGCGCTGTGGTCGAGCTCTGGGGTGTCTCCACGCACCAAACCCGGGTGCACCAAACTTTGGCTTCCTGGCGGGCTGAGCATCCCGTTCACGGTGAATCCACCGGGCTGAGAGTATATTAAGGACTGCTGCTGCTGCCCGGCTCCTATCGAGGGGATGTGAGCCGCGGTGGTGCCACCCCAAGCCCCGGGGTGAGTCTGGTGGGGACCCAGATGCGGTGGTCTGTGATGCAACGCCGTGCCAGCGTGGAGATCGTCTCTGCCCGAATTGTTTTTGACGTCCTGTTGTTGCGGGCTGCCTGTCATTCCGACTGGGCTTGAGGACCAAGGCGACCCGGCTTCTGCAGCCGCCACAGCCGCTGCAGCGGCGGCAGCAGCGGCATGAGGCAACGACGTGACCCACTGGTGGGCATGGCTCAACATATGGCCCCCGTTGCTCGCCGCCATGGCTCCTTGCATGAAGTTGCTCTGTACCATCTTTACCGTAGGATCTCCTCTGTAGCCGCCAGACACCGAGGTAACAGCGACGCTCCCAGACTGCATGCCACCGCCTCCGGAGTCGGAATGCACGACTGAGCCTGACGAGAGAATGCTATTGCTGGCCAGATATGGGTTGGAAGCCGCGGTGGCCATTCCGTTAACCCTTATGAATATATCTGCTGGTCAAACCCCCTCCCGCTTTTAAACTTTTTTTTTGTTCAAGTAGGCAAATTCTATTCCATGAATTATTCAAACTTAAAAGGTCAGGGTAGTATCTATATTATACCATGCACTTTTGAAATTAAAACATCAAAAAAGAAGAAAATGCTTTTTAAAAAATCCGCCAAATCCGTGACTGCTGTATTTACAATATTCATGTAATATCAATATTATTATTTTTTCCGTTTAAATCCACGTTCTTAACGTCAACAAATAGAAGCCCTTTGAAACCCTGTACAGTCCTCGAGGAAAGTTTCTTTTAAAAATAAAAAAAAATTAAAAGGATTAAAAAGTTTTTTCCTGCAAAGTTAGAATAGCGTCGCAGTTTGCACCTTCCCCTAAGATGAAATCCTTTTCAAAAAGTTCCTGCTTAAGTGAAGAAAAAATAATATCGCTAAAGAATCATACGCTTGTTTGTAAATTAGTATCTGAGATTCCCCCTGGTGCTTTTCCGTTTTTTTCTTTAGCTGTTTCCTTTATTCTGCCGTGGTCTATTTCTCTTTGTTCCGTTTTGATGTGTTTAAACCTGCAAAGCCGCTAACTCAAGCTGAAGTACAGTCCTGTATTGCAACGCACGGCGAAGGTCCGCAAGCTGTCTCTCTCATTCGCTGGCTCCCTCACCCCTTCTCTCTCTCTTTCTCTCTCTCTCTCTCTCTCTCTCTCTCTTTCCCTCTCTCTCTCTCTCCCTCTCTGACAGGTCTCTCCGTCCCTCCCCCTGAGCACGGAGACTCACGAATGTTTACCCTTTGCCAAGCGTGCGTACACCGTCCACATCTTTCCCCCAAATACGAGGAAGCCGAGCGCAAGGCTCCCGTTGATTGGGTACCGGCGGCCCCCGAAAGCAGTGCTTCAGGCACGCAGCCCCCCCTTCCGGTCGTTCCAATTGGTTGCTTTTTAATTTAGTCTAAATAAATAAAAAATAATTAATTAAAGCACATAATATAAATAAATAACTGTTCGAGAAGAAATATTGGAAATAACAGGAATTAAAGACAGAAATCCGAGAACGAGCTGTGTAAATGCGCGTTTTGTTCCTTTAACTCTTAATGAACTAAGGGGTCAACGCCTCGGTACCTTTGCCAAAATAATTCGTTTTGCATGGTTGCGGTTAATATCCTTTATTTTGCTGTTTTGGAAACAGTTTAATAATAATTACAACGAACCATGCTTCGGTGTCGCGAAACATAAAGCGGAATCTGAAATGTTTATTAGATAAATTTCTGTCATCTGGGGAAGACATATTAATGTTGTAAAAGTTAAACAAAGACTATATCATATATTAAATACATATTCTTTTTATAAATATTTGGAAATGGGTACGAAAAGCATTATTGTCATTGTTGATGCATACTGTTAATCACGCGCTTTTCAGCATAACGGATTCAAACAAAGACACCACACGCTGAAACTGAATTACGCTGTAATATATAGATTGCCACATCCGGCTTGTTTAACATTAACCATCAACGCTCCGGCTTCTCTGGAGTTAACAGAGAATGCAGGTTTTGGGAGATGCTTCCAAGCGGAAACCGGCGCACAGGCGACCTCACTGAACCACAGAAAAAGAGAAAGTGGCAACCCAAACAAGGGCGAAATGGGCAGTCCCGGGGGATTTGCATGGAAACAGCCCCGCTTTATGTCTCCCCCCAACGAAATCCGCCAGTATCAAGCCTAAAACTTTTCATATTTAAAGGCAGCTATACCGTCGATATATGTTGTGGTTCGTCGGGAAGTCTACATGACAACCCCCTACTAAGCCGATTGAACTTAAATACGCTTCGCAATCTCGAAATGCTACATTTTCGTGCTGCGCAGATGAGCATAACGTCCACGTGAACGTTACACCACAGTCAATCCAGTCATTGTTCGACAGCCAGGGAGACCTTCCCACTTTCGGCGTGCAAAATTACGAGGAAACCCCTTACATTTGTAGGTTTAATAGGGGGCGATTGTAATAACATACTAATGATTTTCGTAATAAATGTCGTTCCAAAAAATCCCCGCCACCCTTCCTCACCCGAAAGGTCCAACACACGTTTCATTGAATTAAACCTAGATATCCAGGTGCAGTCGTTTGAACACTTGAAGCCAGAATACTGTTTTTTTTTCTTCCCAACAGATTTAATTTGGAAACGACTCAAAAATCGTGTGAGCCTCGTGGATTTGTTTACATTGAATGGGGAGGATAGGGCCGGTGCCATGGGCCGTCTTATTCATTAATATACAGTGAGGATTTTGTCTAAATTACTGCTGTGAGTCGCACAGAGGACGCTTTCAAAGGGCCTCACACGCGTGAGAGCTAGACTTGGAAAGTCATTTCTTCCAAAACAGTACAAAAAAGAGTAGGGGGGGAGGGGAGACATTTTCAAACCTTCACGGTTTCACGTTCAGCTTTTTAGTATTTTTCTTTAAAGTGATATGTTTATTTATTTATTTGTTTATTTTTAGGGTCTCCTTGTTCCCTGCTGTGGAGTTCATCTGTTTTGTATGCAAAAAACAGAAAGAGAAAAAAATCCCCAAGTATAACAAGAGAGGAACAGTTAGTGCTGATTTTCATTTGCATAAATTTTCATATATTTTAGTGAAAATAATAGCTGAGCGGAGGAGAGCTCAGCTCAGTTGAGTCAGAGGAAAGGAAAATCTTAGGAAGGACCGTTTCAGAGCATGGAGGGAAGAGTGCACCAGTTCCAACTAAACAGATATTGAGCCCTTCGTATTTTTTGCATTTTCCTGGATCTTCAGGGGGGTAAGTTGATAAATTCCTATTACTGTGATATATACCGCGGTCATTCGAGATCCAGCGATCGACATATACGCCTATTATCGGAATCTTGCACATATTCTTATTGTCATATTGACAACTTTTCACATTATGCATACATTTACGCATATATATATATTTATATATACACACACACACACACACACACACACACACATTCGCATGCAAATACACACGACCACAGGCACTTACATGTGACAATGTATGACATTCTCGGAATTGGGGAAAGTCATTATTGGAATAAACGATGTCGTTAGAGGCCTGAAACAAAAAAAGTAGTATATTTTGCTTTTTAAAACCAAAAATCAATAGACGCGTTCGCTTCGAGACTGGGGTTTATAAATAGTGAACAGACGGTTAAGCAGCACAGTTTTGTAGTGAAGGTGCACTGGGGGAAAGCGCAATCAATCAAATCTAAGCAGGACACCCCTCGGTTGAATTCTCTGGAGAAGCAGAATACAAGTGGATTTCAAGGCCTTTACATATATTGATTCATTGCGGCTGCGCTTTAACTTAGTTTTGAAGTTTAGTAACTAGACTAACCACAACTCAGCACTAATCTACCACTTTATGTACATGTTTGCCTAGGTAAGCGATGAAACGCATTAATAAAATTGTAACACTGGATAGAATTTCACGTTCAGTTATGTAACTATTCGCACAGACTAAATAAACACCGGAAAATATCTGTATACGAACAAGTGAATAGACCATTTCATGTTTATTTAGGTCTTATTACTATATAATCTGTATGAAATATAAATTGTATTAAAGACGATTATGTACACCGTATAAAAGCGGAATGGCATGATAGTGCTTTAAGAACCTCCTACGCCTACGAAGTCAGTTTGAAGAGATAAAACAGGTTTTTAACACGTTTTATAAATGCCTGAATGACAGCAGGCAAGCTTGCTGTGCATGCATGACAGTAGGCTATAAAGGGTGGCGTTACGGCATTTTATCGTTTTCGAGTACGATTTTCTAACTGATCAAGATTTTGTTCAGTTTCGGCGTTTATTTATTGTTTTTGTCACGGGTCAACTTTCGTGTGGACTGCCCCCCCCCTCCCCCCGCCCGCACAGATGCTACCTCGCACAGCCCCACCAAGATCTTTGGTTCATTGATGGGGAGGCATTTCTAAACCCCGCATTTCAGTTGCCATGGTGAGCCGAATAAAAGAGGAAACACTAGTCGCATTAAGCTATATGTTTGTGCACTGGAGTCGAGATGAAAGGGGCGCGGAGAAGCCAAGATGATCTCGCGGACAGCCAAACTGACCACCAATACTCTTGGTTAAAACCAGAACTACATTTACCTGGAAGATCATGTGCGACACGAAGGTGCCCAGCTGCAGATGTATCAGTCTGTGCAGCCGATAACTTTCCGATTCTTAAATCAATTCCTCTCTAAGTTTGGGCGGGGGGGGGGGCTTTATGTCCAGCAGGGGTCGCACTTACTTGCGAGCTTAACTTCGGTAAGTCATTTTTGGACTCGGTAGTTTCTGACAGATTATTTCACCTATCTATCTATCTATCTATCTATCTATCTATCTATCTATCTATCTGTCTATCGATTTGCATATCTGTTTATTTATTTATTTATTTTGGCAAAGGCGACTTAGATGAAACGTTCGTGAACTACCGGAAAACGCCCCAAAACAAACCAATAAATAAGTATGTACCGCAAATATAAAATTGGTAGCCTATTTTTATCTTCTTGTGGTAATTCTGGCTTTGATGAGTATATTATTATTAATCAAAAATCCAAACTGATGGTAAGACAACTAAGATAACTATGTCATTATTTATAAAGCAATTACTGTAGCAGGCATGTAATCACAAAACACTTTATAGTTCTGTTTCTGGCGTTTACATTATGGTTTAAAAATATAATTAAATACATTATTATTATTATTATTATTATTATTATTATTCAGTTACCTTAAAACGCAAGCAAACAAAATATCCCTTTATTTTTCAAATTAAATGTGAATAAAATGGAGACTTGACTTCAGAAAAAAAACGTACAATGTCATCAATCATCCTGATTACATAAATTACTATTATTACAAAAGCTCCACGTTAGCACACATTTATTTCAATTTAGTTAAATATTTCCCATATCATGTTTCTTTTAATAAAGTGGCCTTTAATGTGTCTTGCATATTTAAATTACAAGTATTTCAATCAGATTTTAAAAATCAGTCGGCGTTCCAAAAATGTTATGAATGTGGAGGATATATATATATATATATATATATATATATATATATATATATATATAGCGCGCCCCTGCGTCTCTGTGTGTGTAAATGACTAGCCCCAGAAACCCGTAAAACCAGCAGAAGTAACATGGAAATCATCACGACGGCGGCGCTCTTATAACAGCTTAAGGATGACAAAAACACGGTTCAGGTGCTGCAAATTTGCTTTACTGGTCTAAAACAGACGTAAATCACACAGAAACAGACACAAAGTTAATATTAAGACGGAACACTGAATGACGAAT